AGACAAACGATCTAAGCTTTCAATCAATTATAAACGACTCGTATATATGACAATAATAAGACCTATTTGGACTTACGGAATTGAGCTTTGGGGCTCCACTAAACCATCGAATTCCTCTCGTATCCAATCCTTACAATCCAAAATCCTTCGAAAAATCCTCAACGCTCCTTACTTTGTCACAAATAAAATCATCCATAAAGACCTTAATGTTCCATATGTTTCCGATCTGGCCCAATCCAGATATCTTTCCTTCCATAACAAACTGCAGAATCATCCGAATCCTCTCGTTTCAAACCTTGCTTCCTCCTCGATCCCTGATAACCCTCCGAGGCGTCTGAAAAGAAGATGGCCTCGGGATCTTCTAATATAGAACTTTAATTTGAGTTCTACCAATGGGTAGTTTCTCTTCATGTTGTACATGCCATGTTACAAATTTCTCATTTACTTATTGTATTCTCTATGTAATACAGTTGTAAATTCCATTGAAATAAAAAAAAAAAAAAAAAAAAAAAAAAAAAAAAAAAAGTGATTCCTAAAGCCCTTTTAAATGTAATTACATGAACAATAATACTTTAAGAGACAATTTTTTCCATTAAACATGGTTATATTTTACCATTTTGGAGGGAGGGAGGAGGGGCTTCAGCCCCAACGTACCTTTTCCACCCTAAAACACTTAAATAGCCTGCGAAACCTTTTTCCTTTTGAAATCCGTAGACTTCTGGTCACCTCTTTAATATTTCCCCATGTCGACTATTGCTGCACGGTATATGGGGGCGTCTCTGGGGAACTCGAGGCGAAACTAAAACGTTTGATAGATTGCTTTGTACGAGTCATCTTCGAGATCCCAAGAGACGCCCCTGTTTCCTGTTTCTATGAAGAGTTGAAGTGGCTTTATCCTTCCTATCGCCGTAAGTATTTCCTGGCATCCTTTCTCTTCCAAGTAGTTCACTCCCGCCGTCCTTCATACATCGCCGAGCTCCTTCAATTTAAATCCTCTGTCCACTCCCGCAATACCCGTTCCCGGTCCTCAGATCTATATATATAATGGCCCACCGAACCGCTGCTTTCGATAAATCATTTATCATTCGATCCTCTTCCCTATGGAACTCCATCCCTCCCCACATCCGTCAATCCAAAACCCTTCCTACCTTTAAATCCCAACTGTTTAATCATTTCTTATCCATCCAGTCCTCATCATAAGATTGTAAATAGTTACTACTGTAAATATGTATATAATTATTAGATCGTTCTTTATTATTTTTACTTCATGTTTATTTTCAATTTTTTATTTTTATTATTAACTGATGTAAATTAGAAAGTAACTTATAATTTCTCTAAATATTTTTTATTTATTTATTGTTATTTATTTATTTTTATTTATTGTTTTATTTTTTTTTCTTTACTATTTAATCAAACTATACTCTTGTTTATGTATCTCTGAGGCTCCTTAGCCCACATTTTTGTTTCTCTGTATTATTCTAAAGGGACTCGTCCCAGAATAAATAAAGCATTATTATTATTATTATTAATAGACAAACACAAGAAAATTGTGTACCTTTTTCCACTCTGTCGACCGATTTTCTTTTTTCTTTAATAACTATCGACGAGCTTTAGTGTTATCAATATTTTTTTTTAGAAACAGTGTATATAAATAAAAATGTAAATGTTAGTTCGTTCAAAACTGTTAATCGCTGAAAGTTCGTCACTGATTGGTTTGAAATTTTGAACCAATATTGTAATTAAATTCAGAAATTTTTTACTTAAATTCCATTACCATTCTACTTTTCTTTTCGAAATGACGGCCGAAAATGTGTGTGGCTAATGACTATAGCGTCAAAACAGATTAATGGAACGATTTTAAAGAAACTTGGGCTAAAGTCTTCTCTTTGAAGCTCTTTTAATTTGGGTGATTTTAAACTAGCTGATGTACCCATCGTTGAAGGGCGTATTGTAACATTGAGTCACCCATATCCTTGTAAAATTAGAACTTGATATGAATATTGTGGCGGGCGGGATGAAATTTTCGGGAGTTATTTTTTTTCGATTACCGGCTAACCCAATTGGTTAATTCTAAAAATGTATACGACAACATTTGTTAGGCTCGGGAAATTGAATCGAATGACACCTTGAACGGGAAGTTCGGACAAAGTTGAAAAATTAGTGTGTTTTAAGCGACAAAGCGTTACAGATGTTCGGGATTTCGGATATTTCCCGTTGAATTGTGATAATTTTTTTCATCAGTTGAATAGTACAACTTTTAAATATGGTCCGCGGTAGAGTAGGTTGGGATGAGAATCGAAGTAAGTAACTGCCTAACCGAGATCTCTAGACAAATTACTAAAGAATTCATAACTTTAGTTCTACTCAATATTTTGTTTTCATTTATATCCTATGTTTTAAGTCAAGGAAACCTAAATATAATGTCAACATTTCAAAAGCATACCATTAGCTATTGCTGAGCTTACCCTTGACAAAATTTCCTTGGATAATGCGGACATACAGACAGACAAAAACAAATTTAAGAGTTGATTTGGTGTCTGTAATGTATGAAACGTAAAGATATCTTGAAATGGGTTGATTCTATTCAATGCACAGGCAAAACCTTTATTTTATTTATATAGATATACTTCCCCGAAAGGAGGCATAAAAAAAAGTAAAGATGGGTTCAGAATTTTATATGGGCACAATTTACAAAAAGTACACATGTAGTACAGAACTGTTTTGTATTGTAAGTACATATAAACGTGTATGTACAAATTTCCTATAATGATTATGGCCGAATTTCGACCATTTTGTAAATTACACTTGAGAGTACCAGTTCCCATGATATTTGCTGAAATTAATTCCAAAAAAATATGGTTTATTGAATTAGAAGACTGGTACCAATTGATTGCTGGTGGTGGACATTATAGTGGTGTATGACCAAAATGGTTCTTCGAACATTTCACAAAATTTCGGCCAAGCTCTTGGATTATTTTAATGATTGCTCCAATTTTGATAAAGATTACTAACACTTAGTTGTTTACATTGAAAGGATAAAATGGATAAAGCATTTTCCTGTTCTATAGACGTCATCTTGATTAAACTCATGACTAAAATCAATACCGTCCTTTATGAGGAGGAGGAAAGCTGGGCAACCCTCAGCTGTTTCGAGGCCACGTGTAACCCTTCAATGTGACCTGTCTCTTCCTCCTCCCCCCCACTCAATAATATTAATGAATCTCAATAATATTAATTTTAGGTTTACACCTTCTTTATACCCACGATTTTAGTTCACTTTATTTTTCATATTTCGATAATCATTCTATTAGCCCTAGAAACAGATCCTAAAAGGGATGCTGATAGAAAACAGGGTTGAATATAAATTGCTAAATTGTATATTATTCTAAGTAAAATGAACGTTGTCTGCTATTCCAAAGCAGCTGATTTCAAATCTCTTATGCCAGTCTGTTGAGCTACGTGAACGGGTTTGTGTTGAGGGAAAAAAAACTTGTAGAATTTTTTATTTATTAATATGTAAAAAAACAAAATCATAGACTGGGGCACTTTCGGAAAACTGTTTACATAAAAAAAAAAAAACGCTGCAAATTATTTCACAGTGATTTATTATTTCCAAACAATTATACATCTAAAGTAATATTACCTTCCTCAAAGAAAATTAAATAAAAGATGATTCCAATTATTGGACTAAACTTTTTTTTTTAATGATAAGTAATATGTTAAAAAAAAAATAGCATTACTTCAGTAACACATTCAAAATTTAAAAACCAAACAAAGGATATAACATTTGGAGTAGAACGTATAGGAAAAAACTGGAGACGATATCTTTGCTCCTAATTGTCCGATTTTAACAATTTTTTTTTTAATTTCTTAAACTTTTAAAAAACCATATACAATATCGAAAGAATTGTAAAAAGTATAAACTTCTTGAGTTATTTGGAATTTAATTTTACCATCCCTCGTAACTTTTTTTCCAGCTTCTTTTCGTTGAAGTATGTTATGTAGATAAATTTAAAGGGCGTCGAGAAAATGACTTTAGCGAAGTTTCATTGAAATCGGTACATTCGTTTAGGAGCTACAGTCTATAGCAACGCAGGTTTTTCGGCCCCCATTTTGAAAGTAAAAGGCGGATAGTAATGTCGATGAAGGAGGATTATCCTCGGGTGGCCTCTGATTTTATATCAAAATTTGAAAAAAATCGGTCCAGTAGTTTCGGAGAAAATGCGCGGACGGTGGACGGACAAAAAATTTTGTATTCGTTTTTCGAATTCTACGCATCCTGAAACGTCAAACCTCAAATTTTGAGAGGGGGTTAAGTTTTTGAATTTTTTGGTTGATCACAATGGTTGATTATTGCAAATAATAAACCAAAATACTAGATTTTTAAGAACTTTTTTTTTCTTACTACAATCCGTTGCGTCCAAACGAGATTTAGAAATTAAAGAACATTACATTATTTATCGAACAAAAACCATTACTTATTAATCCTAGATTAAGTGGTATGGCCAAAAACTAAATATATTATATAATTGACTCTTCAGCTTGTAAATGAGTCCTCTAAGAGAAAATGCTCATTGAATATTTTTTTTTGTCTCCCCTTCCTTACCGTTTAGGCTAGACGGGTTTAGACGAAGAAGGATAATTAAATCTTTAACACATATCCAGTGCCGTATTTTGAAGAAAGATGCCAAGCCTGTCTTAATGCTCAAGGAGATCAATTTGAACAACATTTAATGTTAATGTTTACATTCAATTCATAAAGTAGTTAGAACAAATAAATAGGTTTTAATTAATTCATAAAAATGAAAATCTTTAGGTGTGAGTATCTCCTAAACAAAGTATTTGCCGACATACCTTACGACGAAATTTCTTTTTTGTTTTGAGTTTGAGCACTTTATCCTGAAATACTCTGTGTATGTATATATATATATATATATATATATATATATATATATATATATATAAAATCGTTGGGGCTGAAGTCTCTCCCCAAAATTAAATACTGGATACGCTGGTGGCGTTAACAGTTTCAGCAATCGATAGAATATAAGAACCCGCTAATGACCAACTCAAAAATATACAAGCGACTGCTCTTTGAAATTATTTGACGTCGGAATTATTTAAAGTAATCAGACCTTTGAAAAGTGGCAGTGATCACCTGTTGATCGATTGAGGACAATTTGTACTTTTTGTGAGGAGTCTATTGCATATTTTCGTGAATTTCTGTTAATATAGGACAAAATGATATCGTCCTTATATTGAAAAAGCAGGGATCAATTCACGAATAAAGGACAACAAGAGTTTTAATTAATAAGATGAAGTGTTTCTTTTTTCATATAAACCATTGTTTTACCTGAAAAAGAATAAATATTTAATATTCCTCATACAAATAACAATTAACTCTTTAAATATATATATATAATTTAGCTACTCCTACTGTCTTCGTTAATATTTTTAAAATTTCAGTCTTTGATTTCTTAATCAAATTGCAGATTATTCCCTATTTAGCTCATTTCACAATTTAAATAAAAATCGATTAAATGATTATTGTAATATTTTAATAAATTATTGTTAGTGATACACTTAGTGCTCTCATTTTCAATATTTAATTGAGTAACTGAAAAACACGGCCATTTCTAAAAATTTCTTTAATCGGGGATTACTACAATCAGTTGTTATCCAATATAAAACATTTCTTCTTTTTGTTATATTAATTTTATTAATATAGCCTTTGTAAAATGTTTATTATCTCACATGTTCTTTGTTAGAAGTTACTTTTTTTGTTTTAACTTTTAATGCTGTTTTTGAATTTGAAATATTTTAAAACTGTTGGGAGTAAGTAAGATTTTGTGTTTTAGTTTGACATTTGTTGAATAAGAACATTTTGTTCATTATAATAGTTATTTATAAAAGTATGAAGATCGTACGATTTTTCTTATTAAAAAAAAGTCAATGTTTTTTCTATCCTAGGAATATTGAATATACTTAGAAGTTAATATTTATAGTAACAGGTAATGAGTTTTGCATTTGGTTGATTTTAAAATTATTATTTGAATTAATTGTTATTAACATAGTTTATAATTACGTGTGTAAATTGATTTTAAGAAAATGAAATTAATTTTCAATATCTGTTAGGCATTGGAAAATCGAAAGAAAATCCATAAAGTCATCAGCCAATAGGATCGCTTTGTGTGACCGAAGCTTCGTTCTTGGTTCAGTATCGGCCATTTTCCTTGGCGTCACTCGCTCGTGAAGAACGGTTGTTAACAGTTGTCCTTCTTTCGTTGCTAGTTTACTATAATAATTAAAAAAATGAGTGCTGAAGTAGGTCAGGAAGAATCCAAACCTGATATCAACGGATTAAAAATGGAGAAGCCCAACGAAAATCAAAATAGAAATCCGGATAATAGGCGTGGTGGATACGGTGGACGTGGAGGAAGATTTAACGGGAATCAAAGAGGAAAACCTGGCGATATGAAGGTAAGAAATGTTATTTTTATCACTATTTTTTGTTTATTGTATTTAATTTTTGTTAGCTGCATATTTTCGGGGGTGTTAGTTTAATTTAGTTTACTTCAATTCCGTCCGGTAATTAACACTAAAGCTGTTCTTTTGTTTGTTTTTATCTCTATTCGATTTGCTATATTCTTGGGCATTTTTTGAATTATTTATTTTCGAATTATCAATTGTTATTGAAACATGCTAAGTTGCCAAAATGGCGATCCATTATACCCAGTCTGTTAGCTTCAGTAGCGTGCCTTCATTGTAGTTCTAACTTTAGTTTATCTCGTTAATTATAATTATTTAAGTTAATTTTTTTTAATAATCTTAATGAACTATTTTGTTGTTAAATATTGGAATATACTGAGAAGAGTAGAAGCTTATCTGAATTGCTTTTTTAGAAAAAATATAACTGGATGGGGTATCAAGCTAATGAAAACAAGAAGGAGGAGGTATTCTTAGCTTTTTTTTTTTTTTATCCTTTATCCAGCTAAATAATGTAGTCTTAGTTTGTAATACTAATTTTTATTAAGGCTGAGCTAAATTTACTTACCAATATTTATAAAACATATCTTAAGTACTATACCTCTAATAATTAGCTGTGAAAATTGTATTTTTGAAACGTACAAGTGATTTATATTCAACTCCTGCTTTTAACATTATTGCTGAGAAAAATCTTAAGTGCACTGTTAATTTCTTTAGTCTTTATTAATCCATATTTAGGAATAAATTTGTCTGCTCTCAATAAATCGCACCTCAATAAAGCCATCTAAAGTAAGACTGATTGATTCAATTATTTTTATTGCACTGCAGTGAGTGGATTTTCATTATTCTTTCGTTTGAAGTTTTGTAAATTATGTTAATACTAATTTTAAATCAGACACTAATTTGTTGAAATTATTAGCATCTGAGTCTTAAGTATTGTTTGAGGGTGTGGTCTCTAAAGAGCCTTCAACTTTTATGTATTTTAATTACTGTTAATCATTTCACAGATTTCGTAGCCCTACAATGTGTAAAACAATATATAAGTAGTTAAGTCTTTATATTGAAGGGATGTATACAATTCAAACGGTTAATTTTCTTTTATGGATTAAAAATGGTCAGGATGTGCTCTCTGAAATATGGTTATTGAGTTTGTCGATGTTTTGACTCTAACATGAGGTTTATCATCAAAAGAACGAACATTACTCAGTTCTATAAACCATTCTGATGATGATCCATGTTTTTATGTTGAAACATTAGCAAATTTTTGACCATTTTTATTTAAGTAAACAAATTTTTGTCTGTGTATCCTCTGGCCATTTTTATTCAGACAATTTCAACTGTAAAATAGAATAAATTTATTTGTCCTAGACTGAAAAAAAATATATATATTTTTCCATTTGCAAAAAGTATTCAGCAACTAGTCTTTATTTCTGAGCTAAGATAATCTTATTAAATATAGAAAATCATTACATAACTTGAATGTTAAAAAAAAAAAAAATCCAAGTCAGTAATATCTCAGTTTCCTATAAATTCTGATGGTTTATTAGATACCCTTTCTATAATTGATGATTTTTTGTCGTAATTGATACAGAATTATGTTAAGTTTAAATAAAACATATATTATTCTAAGGAATCTGTAATATAGTCAAGGGCCTCAAAACAAATTATGGATGGTGGGTCAATGACCATGCTAAGCAGCCTTGCTTTGTTTTAAAAGATGCAATAGTTTCTCCATTTACTGTTATATTGATATTAATTGTTTCGAATTACAGTTTTCCTGAAAATTTGAAAAAACTCAATAAAATGACACAAACCCTTTTGTTTATCAAATATATTTACAACACAATGAACAAAATGTTGTTCTGGCTTCAGAAAAAAAATATTCATCTGAAGTTCTTAATAGTTTGAGGTTATTAAATTTCATTGAATGACTTTTTGCTACAATTGGATAATATATTATTATAAAATGAATGTCTAAGAGAATAATAATTAAAATAGAATAATTTTTGTTTTTCTTTTTAACTGCAACCTCCAGCCATATAAAAACTATCGTTTCCTGATGAACTTCATAACTGATTTTCTACTTTTTGTTTCTTCATTAATCTAATATTTATTTATTTTCTCATGTTATATTTTATAATTTAAATTTAAAATGCCAAAATTAACACAATTAACCTTTAATTCTAAGTTTAAATCTGTGTAACGAGTGTTCATCATATTCATTAGAAATCTCATTCAAATTAGTAATTATAACTGCAGTATTAGTTATAAACAAGTTTCTTTTAAATTTTTTTTTTTATTTTAGTGAAAAAAAATTAAAGTTTAAAAAATTTAAAAATGAATTTAATTAATGAGTCAAACATATGTTGACCAATTTTTTGGTTGGCTACAATCTCAACTACTACTTTTGGCTCTTTTCTACTTTAAGCACACCAGTGACAATCTTTTTCTCTTTTCGCCTCTCTGGCCTGTTAAGATACAATCCAGGTCCCTTCAAGATACAATTTTGAGTAATAGATCATTCATTACAAAGAAGATAAAATTTTGAAAATTTCCTTTGCCTACATTATGCAGGTCTGATTTTTGGTTTCTGCGATATTTTAATTCAAACACAAAAACACTTCAAAATTCACTGATGCTTTAAGTAGAAAATAGCCTTGCTTTTCAATAAATTTGAAGTCACTTTAGTACATATTAAATTTTTTTAATATTCTTTTTGTTTGATTTTAACACAAATTTAAAAAATATTGGTGAACAAAATATTGTTGTATCACATTATAGGAAATGCTTTGTTACGATTTTTATTTGTATATAATATGGTAAGATAAGAATTATTTATTTAAACAGTTTGATAAGGGAGCTGAGCAACAAGGAGGCGGTCCTATGGTAGGAGGCGAGATGCAAGCTGAAGCAGGCGGCAGGCCTCAGGGAAGAGGTGGCTATGGTGGTGGCCGTGGAAACAGGTTCAAGAACCAAGGAAACCAACGTGGCAGCGGTGGCGATATGTCTGGGTCCGGCGGAGGTTCCTGGCCTAATGAGGTGAGTCGCGAGTTCTTGAGTTAACACTGATTTATTCTTATTAGTTAATCACTTATTTAAATATATATTTTTCATTTAGGTTGTTTTGATAAAAAAAATCGTATTGTGTAGATAATTATATTAGTTAGTGTAATAAAAAGTTGGGAGCAATAATATAGTTTAATATATTCCTATGTAGAAAATTTCTCTGTCTCTTTTTGTAATATAAGTATGCTTTTAGTTGTAAATTAATTCAGACTCTAGGGACTATAAGGGTATTATAGGGCACGGCTTAATTTTACACACCCACATGTTGCCTCAATTATTAACTGAAGTTTTTTTATGATTTTCTTTATTTACTTTTTTTTTTGTTGAAAAATTTTAGTTAGTAATTTAAACCTTTTAAATTAAATTTATTACAAACCTTTCATTTTTGTTACAAAGAAATTTTTATTTGTTTAATAATTTGTTGACGATATTTCTATAATTGAATTAATTTCTTTATTATTAATACTGATCTACATTGTTTCTTAGAAAGAAATGTCAGTAATTGAGTGAGAAATAGTATTTTGAAAATGTTTGTTAGCACCTGCAACCATTGACAGATCTCAGTTCTCTGTAAATATTTGATATTATTAGTTTTAAAATAATAAAACCATTGCATAATAATTTGTAGCGTTTTTAAGTTAATCTTCCACGAACTTAATATCTTCAAGAAAAAAAGTAGATGAAAGATATAAGTCTATGGGCCTTCAATTAATATAGAAGGAAACCTTTTGAAATCTTAAATGAATTATACGAATATGCTTAAGCTATATGACCTTAGGTATTTTCAAAACATCCAAAAATTCTTAATATGTTTAAAGATTTGATCAGCTGCAGTATTTTTCTTTCAAATGTTTTCAATAATAGAAAAATTATCAGCTACATAGCAGAATTTTGGATTTTTAAAGATACATGGTTTTCTTGGTAAACATTTCAAAATATATTTCTTATGGATTAATATTTCTGAATCAGGCAGGCAGTGTTGAACTAAATTTTAAATTGATTATATCTTAGTTAATTACTAATATTTCTAATATACACACTCTTCTCATGTTATATTTTTTGAAATCTTACTATTTTCTTAGTGTTGAGTGCCAAAAAGATATTTTATATAATCAGAAGTGTAATGTTTAAACTTATTTTCAGACTGCTGTCATGAATGACCGTTTGTTAAAAACTGTTGGATCTTCAACTCTTGATATCCCACCTCTAGAATACAAAGAGAAAAAATTTAACTCAAGGTGTCGGCTTTACATTGGAAATTTGCCTGCTGATGTTACAGAAGATGAGTTGAAAACTCTTTTTGCACCCTACGGTGATACCAGTGAACTGTACATCAACAAGGAGAAGAATTTTGCTTTTATCAGGCTGGATTATCGTTCAACTGCCGAGAAGGCAAAGAGGGAGCTTGATGGCCACACAATGAGGAACAGGAACTTGAGGGTGAGGTTTGCTCCGTTGGGTTCAACTGTCAAGGTGAAGAATCTCACTCCATATGTTACCAATGAGCTCCTCGAGTTGGCATTCTCCGTATTTGGAGGTGTAAGTATAGTTACTATCGTCAATATTATAACTCGTTTAAATATTATTGATTATATTTATTTATATTTAATTCAAGGTTGAGAGAGCCATGGTCAATGTTGATGAAAGAGGAAACAGTTTAAAAGAAGGTTATGTCATTTTTACAAGGAAGACTTCTGCCCAGAGTGCATTGAGGCATTGTGCTGATGGTTGTTTCTTCCTTACAAGGTTGGATGTCAAATTTTATCTTTTATAAAATGTCCATTATAGTAGTTCTGTTTACTGTTAGGATAATTACAATGTATAACTATTTTATTTTATTTTTTTTTCAGCTCCCTTAAACCTGTTATTCTAGAACCATTTGAATTAGCTGAAGATAGTGATGGATTTAGTGAAAAAAATATTGCTAAGAAAGGTCCTGAATTTTTTGAAGCTAGAGAGGTAATTGACACAATCATGCAAAATAAACTAATCATTAGTTAATGTTTTCTGTGTATGTTTGAGTAACTTTTTTTTGTTGATGCATTTCTATTTATGATTGTATTTTGTTGTTAGACTGGTCCGAGGTTCGCCAAGGCTGGGTCCTTTGAGTATGAATTTGGAACAAGGTGGAAGCAGATCCATGAGCTTTACAAGCAGAAAGAAGAAACTTTGGAGCGAGAAATGAAATTAGAAGAGGAAAAGCTTGAGGCCCAATTGAAGTATGCCAAGTATGAACATGAAACTGAACTCTTGAGGGAACGTGAGTAATAGTAACCTATTTTATCGTTCGTCCTTGTTTTGTGTTTTATCAATACAATAAATTATCTATATTTATCTTAAATATAAACCTTCTAGGGAAAGTAAAAATTTTACTCTCTTATTCGATTACATTTCATCTTTCATTTGATATCTGCTGGGACATATTCTGTTACTATTTAGTCTTTTAGATTTTTTTATTTTCATAGTAATTATATCCCAGATGCCACGCTGTTACACATAATGAAGTTGTGTTACAGTGCCAGAAAAATCATTTATTGGGTATATCAATTTATGCATGGCAGGAAGCAAAATGTTTTTAATTTTGTTAATGAACTTTTTGTGCCAAGTTCCATGCTACAGTTATTTAAAGATCTCATGAACCTTTTAATATTTAATTATTTTATTAGTTTTTACAAAAATCCTTTAAAAATTCTTGCTGCACTAATTCTTGCTGCCTGGCTAAATTTCTATTGTTTATATATTGAGATAAGTTTTAACACTAGTAGTTATTATAATTTAATGGAGATATAATATTCAACATTGATTCATTAAGATAATTGATGATTAAAATAAATTGAGTAGTTTATCAGAATTAAGCCATTGCTCACTCATTGTTTTAGCTACGTGCTACATAAACATGAACCCTTGTTGAGGCTGCATTATTTTCTATTCCTTTCCCTTGAAGATTCTAAATATAAAATATTTTATTCTTTATAATGTTTCTAATGTGATTGTTGTATTGATTTTATTCCCCTCAAAAGTCCATGCGAGAATATAGAGAATTACCCAAAAGAAGTACGTGACCATTGTAATGAAGGAACATTTTTTTTTTTTTGTGAACTTCCTTTTGCTAACTCTTCTGAATGTAATGCATTTGCCCCAATTGCCACGCTGTTACACATAATAAAGTTGTGTTGCAGTGCCAGATAAATTATTATTGGGTATATGAATCATCGCATGGCAGGAAGCAAAATGTTTTATTTTTGTTACTGAACTTTTTGTGCCAAGTACCATGCTACAGTTATTCAAAGATTACGCTGAAACTTTTAATATTTAGTTCTTTTATTTCCAATAATCTGTGTTTGTTCGTTCATAATTGATTTTCATATAAAAATAAGGAAATTGTTCTGGCTGCACGAATAGTGCTTTCAGCTAGTTTCTATTATGTCTAGATTTATTGATAACTTCTTTAACACAAAATTTAGTTAGTATAATAAGATAAGGGGTACATGATTAGTGTAAGTATACAACTAATTTAGAAAATTAATAATTGAATAAATAAAAAATATTAAAATAAGATTAGGTAACTACATATCGATCGATGCATGGCAGGAAGCAAAATTTTTTTTCTTTGTAATCTATTTGTGCAAAGTACTCAAGCTGCACTATTCATATTATATTGGGAGGCTTAACAAAAAAAGCTTTTGTTTTTTACTAGATATGAACGTTACTAAGTTTGTCCCAATTGCCACGCTGTTACACATAATATAGTTGTGTTGCAGTGCCAGATAAATTATTTATTGGGTATATGAAACATTGTATGGCAGGAAGCAAAATGTTTTTAATTTAGTGAACTTTTTGTGCCAAGTATTCATGCTACAGTATTTATATTGTTTTATGAGGCTTTAAAAATAAGATCTTCGGTTTTTTACTGAATGTGGAAGTTAGCGATATATCCCCAATTGCCACGCTGTTACACATAATATAGTTGTGTTGCAGTGCCAGATAAATTAATTATTGGGTATATGAATCATCGCATGGCAGGAAGCAAAATGATTTTAATTTAGTGAACTTTTTGTGCCAAGTATTCATGCTACAGTATTTACGTTGTTTTATGAGGCTTTAAAAATAAGATCTTCGGTTTTTTACTGAATATGGAAGTTAGCGAGATTGCCCCAATTGCCACGCTGTTACACATAATATAGTTGCGTTGCAGTGCCAGATAAATTAATTATTGGGTATATGAATCATCGCATGGCAGGAAGCAAAATGATTTTAATTTAGTGAACTTTTTGTGCCAAGTATTCATGCTACAGTATTTATGTTGTTTTATGAGGCTTTAAAAATAAGATCTTCGGTTTTTTACTGAATATGGAAGTTAACTAGATTGCCCCAATTGCCACGCTGTTACACATAATGTAGTTGTGTTGCAGTGCCAGAAAAATTATTTATTGGGTATATGAAACATTGCATGGCAGGAAGCAAAATGTTTTTAATTTAGTGAACTTTTTGTGCCAAGTATTCATGCTACAGCATTTACGTTATGAGGCTTTGAAAATAAGAGCTTCAGTTTTTTACTGAATGTGGAAGTTAACGAGATTGCCCCAATTGCCACGCTGTTACACATAATATAGTTGTGTTGCAGTGCCAGATAAATTAATTATTGGGTATATGAATCATCGCATGGCAGGAAGCAAAATGATTATAATTTAGTGAACTTTTTGTGCCAAGTATTCATGCTACAGTATCTATGTTGTTTTATGAGGCTTTAAAAATAAGATCTTCGGATTTTTTACTGAATATGGAAGTTAACTAGATTGCCCCAATTGCCACGCTGTTACACATAATGTAGTTGTGTTGCAGTGCCAGATAAATTATTTATTGGGTATATGAAACATTGCATGGCAGGAAGCAAAATGTTTTTAATTTAGTGAACTTTTTGTGCCAAGTATTCATGCTACAGCATTTACGTTATGAGGCTTTAAAAATAAGAGCTTCAGTTTTTTACTGAATGTGGAAGTTAACGAGATTGCCCCAATTGCCACGCTGTTACACATAATATAGTTGTGTTGCAGTGCCAGATAAATTATTTATTGGGTATATGAAACAATGCATGGCAGGAAGCAAAATGTTCATAATTTAGTGAACTTTTTGTGCCAATTATTCATGCTACAGTATTTACGTTATTTTATGAGGCTTTAAAAATAAGATCTTTGGTTTTTTACTGAATATGGAAGTTAGCGATATATCCCCAATTGCCACGCTGTTACACATAATATAGTTGTGTTGCAGTGCCAGATAAATTAATTATTGGGTATATGAATCATCGCATGGCAGGAAGCAAAATGATTTTAATTTAGTGAACTTTTTGTGCCAAGTATTCATGCTACAGCATTTACGTTATGAGGCTTTAAAAATAAGAGCTTCAGTTTTTTACTGAATGTGGAAGTTAACGAGATTGCCCCAATTGCCACGCTGTTACACATAATATAGTTGTGTTGCAGTGCCAGATAAATTATTTATTGGGTATATGAAACAATGCATGGCAGGAAGCAAAATGTTCATAATTTAGTGAACTTTTTGTGCCAATTATTCATGCTACAGTATTTACGTTATTTTATGAGGCTTTAAAAATAAGATCTTTGGTTTTTTACTGAATATGGAAGTTAGCGATATATCCCCAATTGCCACGCTGTTACACATAATATAGTTGTGTTGCAGTGCCAGATAAATTAATTATTGGGTATATGAATCATCGCATGGCAGGAAGCAAAATGATTTTAATTTAGTGAACTTTTTGTGCCAAGTATTCATGCTACAGTATTTATGTTGTTTTATGAGGCTTTAAAAATAAGATCTTTGGTTTTTTACTGAATATGGAAGTTAGCGAGATTGCCCCAATTGCCACGCTGTTACACATAATATAGTTGTGTTGCAGTGCCAGATAAATTAATTATTGGGTATATGAATCATCGCATGGCAGGAAGCAAAATGTTTATAATTTAGTGAACTTTTTGTGCCAAGTATTCATGCTACAGTATTTACGTTATTTTGAGAGGCTTTAAAAATAAAATCTTCTGTTTTTTACTGAATATGGAAGTTAACGAGGTTGCCCCAATTGCCACGCTGTTACACATAATATAGTTGTGTTGCAGTGCCAGATAAATTATTTATTGGGTATATGAAACATTGCATGGCAGGAAGCAAAATGTTTTTTTATTTTGTAAACTTTTTGTGCCAAGTACCATGCTACATTTATTTGTAAATTAAGTTGGTTTTGCTGTAGTGTCAGAAGTAAATTGGTGTGTTAATGATTTATTTTTTTATACATTATTGTATTATAATAACTTAATATTTTATTTTTTGCTGCCTTTTAGAATTGAGACAGAGGGAAATGGACCGCGAAAGACAAAAGAGGGAATGGGAACTGAAGGAACGCCAAGCCGAAGAGCAGCGAGTTGCTGAAGAAGAAGCTCTGCGTAGGCAACAAGAGGAAATTTCTAGGAGAATGCTCCATCATGAAGATGAGTTGCGTAGGAGGCAACAGGAGAACAGTCTATTTATGCAGGTATGGGTTTATTGAATGCTTCAATTTCTTTTTTATTTATATCTTAGTCATTAAATTTTAGGAATCAACCGATACAGAAATTTTGGCTGAGATCAATATTTATTTGGTCCCAATTTTTTCTGATATCAATAAATTTAGAAATTTTTAAATGCTGCTATATAGGTTTATAAACCTGTTTTCTTACCGTCAAGATTAATTCAGTTTCACTTTCAATATTATCCTTTTTTCTCCACAAATCTCTTAGGGATCGATAAATAAAGAAATTTTAAGCTAAATTGGAAAGTCCAACATTGCCCTATCCGACTAATTTACTTTCCCATTGAGATTCATACAGTTTCACTCAAAATATTTTCCTAATCTCTGAATCAACTTCTCAATCAATCATCTAGGGATCGAAAAATTAGCCTTAAAATATTATTATTTTATTATTTATTATATTATATCAATTTTATTGCCATTAAAGATTTTTTCATTAGGAAATAAGTATCAATATATCAACTCATTTGATATATATATCAAAACAGTTTGATTGTTAAACGCTGGATTTAAGTTTTTATTTGATATTAAAATTTCTTTCTGTATTAATATATTAATTAAATTAATATTTAATTCCCTTAAAGATATTTTTTTCTAAATTAGCATAAGATCTAAAATGTTAGAAATACTACGATAATTCTATTCTCTAAAATACGTTTGCTATAGTTTTATTTAAATTTTAAACAATGATTCATTTGATACGGTTTGACAATTAATGTAGGAGTAGTTGCTATGTTATTGTTATCGTCAAAACTCTAGTTAGCTCTGATAACTTTCACACTTCTAACCAGAAGGTTTCTCCTCTGAAGCATTCCGATCCAAGAATTTCACCTCTTAACTGTTCGCAATACGAACTGTACTCTGAATCCTGATAATTTCCATCATTATCCTATAAATTAAGTTGTTCATATTTTTCAATCCTCCACCTTAGCGGTTGTAATTGCAACTAAATATTTTTAAAGATCAAATACAAAATCTTCAAACATGCATAGAAGCACATATTAGTGTGGAAATTGAAACATCCTTCTTGTTTGGGCTGAATTGATGATGATATTAGATATGATATTAGAGTGTTGATTTTCACATTCGATAGTTAGCATTTGTATTGACGATACGGCTGTGTTAGTTTTGAATTGTATAACTTGTGCTTTTCCATACAGACTCACCAGATGAACAGCTTGATGGATCAGCCGGAGAGTACCGTGAGGCCCGGAGGTTACAAAGACACGCAGCCACCCTTGGACTACGAAGCCGATCCCGCCTACAACTATGAGGGTGGTAAGTGAACATTTTAATTTTACACTTGTCATGCCTCAATATTTCATATATGGTGATATTCATATATCATTTTCTTTTGTGTTGTAGGCCAGAGGGGTGCAGTGGTAAGCAATGATACATAATTATTTTAATTATAAATTTTATCCAAGGATACAAAGTTAATGAAGCATAATGGTGATATCATTTTTTAAAACAGTTAATGGTGTGTCGATTCTAAGTTCGTATCCATTCTTACTTCTTCAAATTGATAGTGGCTGATTAGTGAAGTATATAGAACTGTTATTATTGGTTTTACTAATTTAACATAACAGTTTTCGTTTAACAAGTTTTTGGAACAACTTTTTATCCTATTGAAAGTAAGTTGTATTATTACTGAATTAGACAAAATGGCTGTTGTTGCCGCCTACGGCTCAGTAGTCAATAATAGAGAGCAGGTTTGGATTAACTCTTCTCTTACTCTAATATGTTTCCAAATCATTTTGCAAAGTTTGATTGCTTAAGTTGTTTTATTATAAATATTTAAACAGAAATATTGTTCATCAAATTATATACAGAATCTTAAAAAAATGTATTGACATTTACTGTCTTATATTTATTAACTTATGAAATACTTAAAGCATTTTAAATACCTATGATTTTTAACAAAGTGATATATTTGAACGTCTCTTTGATATGTATTGAACTGTTATTCCTGAAAGTTCTTAATTATGCAGATTTATATTCTTCATAGTTTTCATAATTCTTATTATTTATTAATAATTTCATTGGTTATTTTTTTATAACTATATGATATGTTTTGATAAATATGGAATGCCTTCTTAGGTTATAGTTATAGTCTTTATAACTTAATTTAATATGTTTTGATAAATATAGAATGTCTAAGAATATCTAAATGGGTTGGGGTAAAGTTAATTAGCCACTCTGAATATTAGATTTTCATAACAAGTTTCAACACAGATGCAGTGAAAGTTTGTCTCATTATTTTTTATCCCTTTGTTATATTAGTTTTGTATTACGGTAAGATATAATTACTGTTAGATAACCTTAAATTTTCATTATTAAGATGTTTTCATTCAGTTTGTTGCAGTATTGAATAATTAGCATATTGGTTATGGGAGGGACTTTACCAATTTAAAAACAAGGCAAAATTTTACTTATCACTAGATTTTCACTACCTTTGCATATTGTGTTGATAATTGTATAATACTATTAGTTTTTATGTTAAAAATTTCTTTTAAAACATAGAAACTTAATGCTTTTTGACTAACCCTTGCGAACTTTTCTGTTTTAATTCTGTCTATTAAGAAGTCTGTCAACCACAGAATCTTAATTTTTTTAATTATGGAATATACCTAATATTACTTTATTGATTTTATTGACAAATAAATTAATGGTTTCGGATTGTTGTTGATGTTGCTCAAGATGTTAAGTTTGATGACAATCAGTGTGACCACTGTTGTGTACTTTTATGATTTAAAAAAATAATTACATAATTTAGTTAATTCAGCAAATCTTAATCTGTTAATAACTTACTTTATGTATTGATTATAATTCTAACATTAATTATTCACAATAATATTGTAAGTAATTCAAGCATTCTGGAGAACTTAACGTTTGATCAGATCATAGTACTGTTGGAAAGAACTCGGAATTTTTTTATCAGAATGGAAAGTCCAGAATCTTGTCGTTCCTAATATTGAATGTAGAAGTCATGCAATAATATTTATATATTTTATTGTTTTATCTTCTTTTTCAACTGAGTGTTATAAGATTGTGACCTCTGGCAGTCAGGAGTGCTTGGATGATCGGAACTGTTGTCATGACGCACAAAAGGATTATTTTGAGTAACAGATAGTTTAATTTACTTGTTTGATCGTTTATTTAGCTGAAAGTCTTATTGGCTAATTTAAAATTATCAATTCAGTAACAGTAAGCTAATATTTATCATTCATCTAAAATAAATAGTAAAAATACAGTAGACCACTTATTAGCATACCAACTTATTCATTCTATTGTGGTGAGGCATGACACATCTCTCTTAGCCCTTTTTAGGACACTACTACTTTTATTATAATTTAGAAAAAAGAAATTAATAGTTTAAGAAACATAAAAAAAAAAAAAAAAAAAATATCATCCGCTGTTACAAAATCAATGCTAGCAGATATGGATTATGACTTATTGTCCCACAGTTCTTCTCATGTAATAAAAAAATGTACTTTTTGTTTTATATTTTATGGGACAATCTGGTTAACAAAAAACAGTAAGTTCACCTATACAAGCTTAATTAATCTATAAAATTATAGGTATTTTGAAATTAAGTAGATTTTATTCTGGAACATTTATCCCTTAAGAATAATAATAATATTGAACAATGGAAGTGTCATTTATCTAGTGTAAAGTGTGACGAGGAATAATTTAATTACAGAGTGATATTAGTTACATCTGATATAATGAGTTAATTCTAGTCAATTTGGGGAAAAAAAAAACAGGAATCTAAATAATATCTTTTAATAATTAAAAAAAAAATTATATAAACATTCATTTAAATATGTCAGTTATGAATTTCTACAGATAAAATGTTAGTAAACTGGCTTAATACTTGTTTCTAAAGTAAATGAGGATTTTTAAAGTTCTATGCAGAAAAAAAGTTGTATTTTGTAATAAAAGTCGTCCTATAAAAGGTTAAGTGGAAGAGTTGGTTAATTCAGTATTTATACAATTGTTGCGTGGAAATAATTTAATAGAGTATGCCATGCCATATGTCTATTGGTATACGAGGCGTGTACTTAATACATAAAGGGATAACTTAAAATTCTAAAATTACTTAAAAAGTAGTACACTACTCATTATGATTAAGTTACTAACAATTTGTTTGAATTTAAAATTTCTTTATATAGATGATTCAATTGAAGTGTACAATGGATCATTTAGTTTATAACATTATTCAAAATGAGTTGTTTATTTTTTGTTTACTTTACCAAACATGATATTTTTCCAAATTATATCTAAGGGTATTAAAAAACTTGTGACACTTGTGATTTTTCTTACCTAGCTATGGATATTTGTTGTTTTTACTCAAAGGCTTGTTAAATGGGGTCCGTTTAAAATAAAATAAAATTCATTGTATTGTTATTTTTTTTATGTCAATATTGTTATACGATCTAAAAGGATTTGATGCGAAATATTTTTTCATTAATGTTTACAACTTGAGCAGTACAACAATTAAAATTATTATTTAGTGAGGGACTAATGGTTTTAACATATAAAAATTATTACTCTTATAACTGTTATTTAAAAGTTAATAAGATAAATTTGTTTTAATTTAAACAAATTTATGTCACAATGATTAAAGTATTATATTAAGAATTATTTTAAAGTGATGACTTATTTCTTGTGGCTGTGTCTCCTCTTTTAAATGAGACTCTGAAGGCACTGATTAGATCTTAATAGGCTAAAACATTAAAGTAACTATTAAGTAAAACTATTTTGACTAATATCGCAGTTGCAATAAATTTTATTGTGCCATTTTTCGGATATGTTGCCGTTGATAATTTATCTATACATATAAAATATTTTAATGCATGTGTTACTTTAATTTTACTGTTCAATTTTGAAATAAGTCTACATCCTATCAAAACCCTCCTATGTCAGTCATAATTCCTTTTATCTTTAAAGTAAATATAGCCCAATAGTGGGCCTAAATATGCCTAATTTTTGTTAAGAGGCTGATTTCAAAAACTATAATTTTTACCCTCCATGAGATTAGGCGCTTTTGAAAGCTAGGTGTACTTTCACTCGAAATTGACTCCTTCTCCACTCAAATTCCTACTCGATTCCTCTGGCGAGAGAGAGGCTTAAGACCCTGTGAACTTTAGGGAATGGAAAAAATATAGCATAAAATTTTAAAAATGTAAATAATTATTCATATTATTTTAGTATGATTTGTCACCTATATAAATAATGTTCTTATTTAAATAAATTTTTATTCCAAATTACAACAAATGCCACCCGTGTATTTTCTAAGAACTGATTTTAATCCATTAGTATCCATAAGAAGATTATGATTGTTCATTACTTATTTTAAAAAACTTGTGAATTGTACCTCCTTGAGTGAAGACTGATGGCGAGAAAGATCACCTAGTGAGTGTAGGATGGATGGATCGATTAGGATACTTATATTGATTTTTTCACTTCAAAGTCCGTCTTATCTCATGGGCAGGGGGTTCAATCAAAATTTTGTCGCTGAAAAGTAAAAAAAATGATGGAGGTTTTGATAGTTTGTTGACAGTATCCTTAGACTTGACGTTGATTGATTTGTTAATAATATTCTTATACTTAAGGTTACTAGTTTATTTGTTAATGAAGAAACCACAATAGTTAACGAATATTTAATATCTTTTGTTCTAAAATCATATGTAAAGGAAGACCTGCTCGTTTTACATTGGAAATTAAAGTTTTACTCTAATGCGTTATATTTTTATAGTGTAATTTAGGTTTATATGAGTATTGATTGAAGTTTAAACAAGTTGGAGAACACTTTTTTAATAATGTAATCAATTTTATTTATTATATTTGAGAATTCTTAAGGTTACTAAAGAACCGAGTATTTTCTTTTATCACTGAGGAAAGTAATTAATTAGCTTAAAGTTATCTATCTTTTATTTTACTAATGAAACATATGTTTGTTTTTTCTGTTTGTAGGTTCATACTCTAGTCATTGGTTGAATCTTTATGAGTGTCCATAAGATAACCATACATTTTTATCCTGATTATTTATTTACTTTTATCCTCAAAGGTTTAAACAATCCAAACTTGAAGAGACCACAGTGCCATTGATCCGCCTGGTGGTGCGCTTAATTGTTTGTTAAAACAATATTAGGGTCGATTCTGTTCTATTGGCTTTATTAGATTGGAACACCGCTATTTTGTGAAAAAAATGGAAATTTATGCTCAGACTTGAGGATTCTCTTTTTATCATTTTTTATTTACATAAACTTTTGTTGCATATCTTAAGTTTGTTTCGATTTTGATTGATTTTTTTTTTTAATTTCTCTTGTGATATCAAGGAGTTAATGGTATGTTCCAAACATCATGAAATGAAGAA